TTAAACACTTCATCAAAAGAACAATGCTCAACAAAAAAGTAGCAGATTTCAGGCATTAGTAACAGTTCTTTAGAGAGAGAATTTTTCATGGACTGTTTCAATGGCATCTGTAATATTAAGTTGCATAGTGGGCTCTCCTAATTTTCGCCACAGCACTTTTCCCATATCCACCATAATTCATAAAACACAGGCATGAAGACATCCTTCCTTCATGGTGCTCATATCTAAGGAGATGAACAACAGGGCTACATCATTCTTCAGTACTATGTTCTGAACCAGCAGCATGGATTGCTTATTTTTGAATAGATAAAGAAAGCTCAGGACAAATGGAGAGGTGTGGTTTGAGATTTGTTGAATGTGAGCATGAAACAACCCAAAAGATGTAAAATGGAATTTTGTTTCTTTATTAATGGAGCACTGTGAACCTGGAAAGAAGATGAATTAGCCAGAGTTAAAATGGATACTGAGAAGAGAATACAAAACACACTTGTACTGAAGCAAGACCTAAACAATCTGGCTCTTAACGATGGTCATTGTTCAGTCCTGCTTTTGAACATCAGCTGCATGACCAGCATGTACTAAGGTTTTTGTTGTCTTGTTTGTGCAGACAAATGGTGCAAGTATTCTCACATTTCCCCCTTAGTGATTTGACTTCACACACACACACACACACACACACACACACACATTTAGGTAGAGTTAAATATCCTGCAAATGAGTTTGGGCTGAGCAGACCAAGCTCTGGCTTCCTGATAGGAGCGGTGAGATATGAAGTACATTGTCAGGCACTAGTCCACTCTCCACCCCAAGCCAGGATGGAAACCCAGCTCTGTTGAAACGGGGCTGATCCCAAAGAAATACGGAGATAGTATTAACTGCGCGTTGTGTTAAAAGCATCTGATGAACGTATGCTTCCTCCCTCATTTGGATTTCCGAATGCTGCTGCTATTTCCATTTTATTTATCTACTCTGAGTCCCAGAAGGGACTATGTGAGTGTGGTTAAAAGCTGTATTTGGATATAAATAATTTTGAAATAAAACATGGTGTTTGAAGCCTTGGGTTAAAAATTATCAGGTAACTTATCAATGAAAGATATTTCCGCTATTTTAATAAAATGCTTTGCTGTAAAACACAGCACGGTAACACTACAGATGATAACATTTAGAAGTAGGGCAGCTGGAGGTTGTGGAGTGTGTGGGAATTCTGTTCAGAATAAGCTTAGTTCTGCATACACTTGGACATCATGGGTCTGTTTGTGTATGACAGTGATATGAGTACATTAGTCTTTTGCATAATTAATGAGGAGGGCACGTGGAGGAGGTGTGGAGTGGGTAGAGGTTACATCAGGGGAGTTTACAAGGAAGCCCTTGCACTCCTCAAGGTGGGACTGATAAGGGCAAATGTAAGTGTGAGTGAACCCTCAGTGAAAGATGGAAGATATGCAATTAAAAACCAAAGAATTATTTACTCATTTGAAGATTAAGTAAAAGAGAATTTATTCAGTGGAGTGATGAGAAGGAGGAAAAAAATCAGACAAGGTATATTGGGAGAGTGGGAGAACGTTTAGTTCCATTGACAGACATGATGTCGGGAAGGAATACAGTGTGTGGGGAGCTGAGTGGAGACGCTGGTGAGATGTTTATGAAACATTCGTTACGTTGCTGGTGAAAGCATCTGCACCTTTGGAGGCAAGTCTAGGAGATAAGTGCAGAATTGAGGGTGAGCTGCATATAGTTGATAATAATTGTAGTTAGAAATCACAAACTCTTCAAGAAAAAATAAGTTTAGAACGAGGAGTACAAACTGTGAGCACACAAACTTACAAAATTCTCTAATGGAGGAGGAGAGTTTAGAAAAACTACTCAAGAATGCAGATGAGGAATAATTGGAGGAAAATCAGATCAGAAGTCAATGATAGAACTGAGAGAGAAGGAAAGAGTAATTAGTTAACATTGTTAAAAGATGACAATGAAAATCAAATGACAGTCTCCCGGTATGATGCCTAGAAAGCCGTGAGTGACCTTAAAGAGTTTCTATGGATTAGTGAAGGTGAAAACTACATTTCCATGGCCTTAAAGATAAACATTTGGAGGAGATAAGCCTGGCAAGTGGACACCAATCATTTGAAAACTCTGGATGTGAACGGAGGAAATAATTAGAATGATAAATAGCAAAGATTCCTCTCTCCATGTTGAGAAGTCTGTATAATTTTTGTAATGAGGGAAAAGGAGTTGATCGGGAGTAGGAGAAACCCCAGGATGGCAAAGAGAGACACTAAATGAAGGAATAAGATCCTGAAAAGGGTGGGGGGGGAAGCATGAAATCAAGGCTTTGATCGATTATCATCACCAAGGGGTGGGTACCTGTCCTAATTCAGTCACTAGAATAGGAATGTTGGATCCTCAACCCCTTAATTTCACCAGTGATCTTTTCAATTGGCCAATATTATCCACATTTTACAGATGAAGAATTAGGAGACTCATGGAGACCAAATGGCTTGTTTCAGAAAGTGGAAGAGAATGAATTCAAAGCAGAAATTACTAGATTCTGAAGCTCATACTTGCAATAAGATGTGATACTGTCACTTGCAATGAGGCAAAAGCTATGTTAGAGAGATATGCAGGGTGAGTCCAAGGAGCAGAGGGAGGCATGGTCTGGCGTGTTCTCCAGGCACCTTGCACATTCACCAGGGGAACAGATGATGTGATGATGCTCTGTTTTGTGGATGGATCAGGCCTTTGAATACAGATAGCATAATAGTCACCTTGAAACACCAGCATCTGGCAAAGATGGCACTTTATGGATATTTGCCATATTAATAGAAAAAGAAATACCTGATTTTTGCTATGGATCTGCTATTTATTCAGCAACAGTTAACCTATTTTTAAAATTGAACAGTCTCCTGTAGTTTTAGGATTAAATTTCAATGCCCTCTTTGAGGCAAGCAGATGTTTTCTGAGTCTGACCTTGATTGAAGAAAAGCAAAGTGAGGGTAGTGTTAGTAGTATCTTGATAGAGCTGCAGAGGAGGAACATAAAAGGAGAGGTCAGGTTTGAGAACATTAGGAAACAGGTTTATACAAATATCTGCATCTGAACCATGAAACAGAAGGGCATTTCTAGACCTACTTGCTTTGTTTTGTCCTCTACCAGGTTTTGACCTTAAAAATAAAACAGCTATTTTACCAACAAAATGGGTTTATTTGGGAATAGCAAGAGGAGTTGTAATTTGAGACAAAAGCCATAGGCAAGTCCCACAAACAAAGGAGAGGAATCTCATTTTATAGAGAAAAAGGAGAATGCTGGAAAGGGTGGTTTTGAACAAAAGTCCTTTGGAGGACAGTGAGAATTTAGATTGATGACAGTTTCTCATTGGCTGAGTTGCTGGGGTAGCTGCTTTCGTATAGGACATGCAGTGTGTGTCTTTTCCTGTTGGGGCTTGTAACAGGCGATTCATTCTGTTGATGATTCTTCTTCAAGATCTGTAATTGACAATCTTTCCAGCAATTTGTATTGATGGTCTGCTCAGACGCCCCGTCTGGTCTCCTTACTCCATTTTAGTGAGGGTTTCCCTTGATTAATTTTCACAGAGGGGAGAGAGCTGAAGCCTAGACAGTACTCAGTTTTCTGCTCAGAAACCCCATCCTAACTCCTCCGGGTTTGGGGACAACACAAGGACCTCCGTTTCTGCCCTCGAACCCTTTTACCACCTTGTCTCCTACTTTCCCTTATTTTGTACACCGCAAGAAAAGGAAAGTTAGTGAATTAGGCAGACATGGAGAAATAATAGAATGAATCAGTCCTATAAAAATGTTTAAGAAATATAAATGGCTTCTGATTAAATTTCAAAATTGAGATGATAACATACAGTTCCACTGGAAAAGTGCTTTGTGGGTGAAAGAAAACAAAGTGTCGACTCCATTCCATTGTACACCTACCTGAATTCATACCTCCTTCTCTGCCTTGGGCAAGGAAGAAGGGTGCTCGGATCCTTGCTTTTCTTCCTCTCTTGTCATTATAAAGCCGAGTATCCACACTCTTATGTCTTTAATTTTGAGCCAATATAAAAAGGTAGATTCTTAAACAGCAAGTTGAAAAGAGAAAAATGAAAAGAACAAGATACAATCACAATCATCTACCCCATCGTATCACACCGAGGCTGAAGAGACCCAGACTATCAGAAAGACAAGTGGTCCCCCAGGTCCTCAGAGTGACCCAACTATTCCAAGCCCTGAGTTCTGTTAAAACTTTCCTCCAGTATCATTTATGTCTGAATCTGTGGGAGGTGGGGTGCATGCGAAAATCATGTTTGCTGCTTTGCTCACCCTGAGACAGAGGTCATGTTACGACTAATACCCATACTCCTGTGGTACTACTGCCAGGAACAGTGCACAAAGTACTTTTTCCGTAAGTTACCTACATTTGAGCTTGAATGTACTCATGAGTTGTATAAAATTGTCTTGTTTCATATATAAAAGTTTGTCACTAATGCAAAATCACATAGCTGGTAAATAAAATCAGTTTTCAGACCTATGTTCTCTGATACGAGATCTTTTCACAAGCCCCTGCCTTCTCCGAGTATCTCCTTTTATGATTGACTTTTCCATTTCATCATGATGGGTCCAGTTGACATAATTAGGTAGTTTTTGTAACTTTCCAAGCAAGTTTTTCTTCACTGTTTGTCATTTTACCATTATTACCTGCCATCCTTTTCTTGCCCTAGAATCTGAGGTAAGTTGGTAAAGATGTGGAGCTCCTGAAATTGTACTGCGTTATCATCAGGCTTTACCTGAGTGCCCCAGGGACCACATCATGTCCTTATCAAGGCACTGGCCTGTTCTCGTGATGCAGAATGGATACAGTGTATTCAGGATAGAGCCTGTCATCCTGGCCCACAAGTAATCTTAAACATTAGACCAAGGTCAGTTGTATGCAGTATGTATAGATAAAATTTCTTTTATCTTTGTGGTTCTGTGATTCAACGGCTTCTGTTATTTCTGACTCTCTCTGCAGGTTAATAATCCTTACAATTTTTAATGGGAACAGATAACCAGACTTGGGTGAGAGAGTTTGTTCTCCTTGGCCTGTCCAGTGACCGGAACACACAGGTCTCTCTCTTTGTCCTGTTCTCGCTCATGTACCTGGTGACAGTGCTGGGAAACTTCCTCATTGTTCTTCTGATCAGACTGGACAGCCGGCTCCACACCCCCATGTATTTCTTCCTCACCAACCTCTCCATTGTTGATGTCTCTTATGCCACAAGCATCGTCCCTCAGATGCTGGTGCATTTTCTTGCAGAACATAAAGGAATCCCACCTGTGAGCTGTGCAGCCCAGCTATTTTTCTCCCTGGGCCTAGGTGGGATTGAATTTGTTCTCCTGGCAGTGATGGCCTACGACCGCTACGTGGCTGTGTGTGACCCCCTGAGATACTCAGTCGTCATGCACGGAGGGCTCTGTGCTAGGTTGGCCATCACATCCTGGGTCAGTGGCTCTGTCAACTCTCTCATGCAGACCACCATCACCTTTCAGTTGCCCATGTGCACAAACAAGTATATTGATCACATATCCTGTGAACTCCTAGCTGTGGTCAGGCTGGCCTGTGTGGACACGTCCTCCAGTGAGGTTGCAATCATGGTTTCTAGCATTGTGTTGCTGATGACCCCTTTCTGCCTGGTTCTCTTGTCCTACATCAAGATCATCTCCACCATCCTCAAGATCCGGTCCACGGAGGGAAGAGAGAAGGCCTTCCACACCTGTGCCTCTCACCTGACGGTGGTCGCCCTGTGCTATGGCATGGCTATTTTCACTTATATCCAGCCCAGTTCCAGCCCCTCTGTCCTTCAGGAGAAGTTGGTCTTTCTCTTCTATGCCATTTTGACACCCATGCTGAACCCCCTGATCTATAGTCTCAGGAATAAGGAGGTGAAGGGGGCCTGGCAGAAACTACTAGGGCAATTATCTGGATTAACGTCAAAACTGGCAACTTGATGAATCATGAACATCACTTAGAGAAAAGAGCTTTGCCTTTGTGTTCTCCCACCCAACTCAGATATGACAAACATCAGCTTCATTGCCATGGCAACCGGGGAGGAGATGATGAAGCGTGTACTGGTGTACTTGGGTAGGAGGCTGAGGAGTTAGGTTGGGGTGTTAAGGCAGGGACCTTTTGTGTCACAGCAGCATGTTCAGAGAAATTAAGAACTGCTATCATAGAACTTCTTGTGCTTGCTTGTTTCCGTTCATATAGCCTGAGAATAATTGAAAAAAAATCATTTGCCGTCTTGATTTGTCATATTGTTTGTAATCATGAATCTATTCATGAATCTTACTTTGGATCACTGGTTCTTACATTGTACAAGGTTATAGTGTTTCCATTGGGAACAAAAACGTTTTCACATTTTAGACTTATATAAAATAATGTATGTGCTATGTATCTACATCCAATACTTGTGTGAGTCACTGTTCCTAGGAAAGTATTGCTCTCAAGGCTGATTAAAATGTTTCTGTGCTGGACCTATGACATGTGGACATACAGCCACATGTCTGAGTGCTGGAGGTAAGCCAGTGGAAGGATCCATTAAAGGTCTTGTTTTACACTCATATAACTGAAGGTGTTTGTACATCAAGCTGTTACTGGTCAAGGAAAAGTTGCATTTCAAACTCTTCTTGATACTGTACACACAATTTGAGAGAAATTTTACTGCATGTGTAATGGGTACCATTTAAATCTTAAAACGGTCCAATCTCTGGAAAATCTAAAATCTGTTTTTCTAAGATCTTAGAAATAAATAAGCACACAAAACAGGAAATTATATACACAACATTAAAAGTGTAGTTAATCTAAGGAAGGACAGATTCCTCAGCCAAAGGAAGTGAAAGATAAGACAACTTTAATATTGTCTTAAATTGGGGACTCAGGATAGTTCAGTCAGCTGGGCAGATGTCACCCTCCAGTCTCCGTATTAAACACCTTCTCCCCTCCCGCCTCCCACACACATAACAGGGCCCTCACAGATCATTTGTAAATCTACTCAGCTGGAGTAGTCTGAGAGCAGACCTCACCTCTGAGAGAAAGCTTAAATAAGGTAAAAGGGGTCTGGGAAGAAATAACAGTACAAAGGATAAGGATGGAGAAAGAGGAGAAAGAATGTGACGGTAGCTCATCTCACTCCCTTAAAGATGTCTCAAAGTCCTTTCTTCCATTGTCTTTTCTTTAGGTCAGGTGATGTACAGTCTTTCCATCTATGAACATATTATCACACAATCTCACTGAAGTTTCATATAATCCAAAGTCCATTCAACATTGTAAATTTACTTTAAAGTATCAATACTAAATTTTGCAATATAGGCAGGCACCCTCAAAGATGTCAGTGCTCGGGGGCTTGTTGTTCATTCAGAAATATCAGCAGAGGTGTCAGTGGCATGTATGGTTCTTGAGAGATGATAGTTAACATACAATCCTGATGGGGATATGACCATATAGCAGGGATACAGCAGACGCTTCCCAGAAATGAGAATCCTTCAGGGGTGACTACAGAAATCTTCCTGTATGAAAGGACCAGGAAAGGTCTGGATGGGGACCAGACAAGCGAAAACAATTTATCTAGATGACAAGCAACCTCAGCAAAGGAGCAACTTGTAAGGCGCTGAGCTGGAAGAGAGATGAGAGTTCAGACATGTGCTGGAGGCTCACTTGCAGGCAGAGAAGACTCAGGAAGTAGTGAGGATGAAGCAGGTGGCAGGGAGGAGTCAGGTCTTGGAAGCCATCAAATGCTAAATTACTTTGAACTTTATCCTCACAGCAATCAGTAAAGATTTTTAAGTAGGAGCATTGCTGTTTGAAATTTACATTTTTAAATGATCCCTCTGGCAAGTGAGTCAAAGGAAGAAAAGATTGGAGAAAAGGAGACCAGCTTGAGGACTGCTCCAGTGATACTGTTGAGACATTAGGGAGATCTGCAGTAAGAAACCGGCAGTGGGCAAAGAGAAAAGTCACGTCACAGGATTTAGAAGAGATTTCAGAGGAACATTTCATCTTTTCCTGGATTGGAGTTCCCTTATCAATCCCATTCCTCCTCAAAAATGTCATAATTCTGTCTGAAACTTCCCTAAATTGTGGAGTAAACATCAACTTTTATCACCATGACCAAACCCTCAGTAAAAGTGGTGGGAGGAAGAGATGAAAGAAGAAGGAAATTAGTCCATAATACAAATGCAGAATGCACATGCACTTCAACGAGGAAGTCACGTGAGAATCCTGTCTCTTCATTTCTGCAGCTGCCATGTGGTCACAATTGCACTTTTCCCCACCACCTTCCATGACCCCTTTGCCCTTACCCAGCTCCTCGGCCTGTTTGGGTTCCTCTGAAGAATTATACCCATCTTCATTTCGCAGGAAGCAGATGTGTTGAGAACGGGCTTTAGGTCTGTAGAAACAGACTAGTGTAATCCTATATTCCATGTGTTGTTTCTACTTTTATCTCTTTTATTATAGACGCCTTTTTTCAACACAGTCTTTTCTCAGTAAGTTAAATTCTCAATAAATTAAATTACTTGGATCACTTAGATATGACAGACATTTCTAATTAGTAGTTGCTTGTGAAGGACATTCCCAGTATAGGGGAGGAGAGAACTGTTGGAACAGGAGCAAAATAAGATGATGATGTTGTTGTAAACAACAAAGTCATCAAATGTAACTTTTGAAAGCTGGACACTGAAAAATATTTAAGAATGAAATATTGTTCCTTATTTAATAACCATAAAAAAATCATGAGATTTCCTGGAAAAAAAATGCCTAGCACTTATAAAAACTATGGCTTGTTCAAATAATAATCCAAATAAATCCATACATTGTAATTGTCTACTATGTCTCTGAAGAACCATTCAATCTATAGGGTCACCCTCAATTTTCTTTTTCCCCCTTGGAAGTATTTGTTCACTAAAATAGGGCTGTTTGTCCCAGTTGGGTTTCCATGCATCTGGATTTTTTGATGATAGTCTATTGGTGTAGTTTTTCATGTTCTGTTGACCCACCCTGTGTCTCCTTGATCAGATTTGTGGGTTTTTTTTTTTTTCTTGGCAAGGATATTTTCTAGATGGTAGCATATACATCTATAAAAGGGTGTATAGTGTTTGATTTCTCTTTTCTAGGTTTTATGCAGTTACTTAATTGCCAAGTTCAGGGTTTCTCAGTAGCAGCAAACGTCCATTGACATTTTGGGCTGGATAAATGTTTCTTGGAGGGGCTATTTTGTGCTCTGTGGGATATTTGGTAACATTCCTGACCATTTCCCACTAGATGGCAGCTGCATCCCCTCCCCGCCATCTTCCAGTTTTGACAATGAGAGAAGTCTCCAGACATTACTAAATGTCCCCTGGGAGGGCAAAGTCACTCCTGGTGGAAGACTACTGACCTAGCTCCATTTATTTATTAGAGGTTTCAAGGAGGTGATATATCTCTCACCCCTTTTTATCTTTATTATCTGGAATATATTTATAAATAGAAACTTCCTCCTCACCATCATTTCATCTTCCTGAGTTATAGTTGGTATAGAAAGGCAGGATATGTTTTTCATTTTTCCCTTTCTTTAACACTTTTTTAATACAACAAACAAGTTTTTTTAATCCTTATGAACTCATCCATGTAAACTTATTTGCAGTGTTTTAATTCATTGCAGTTATATTCTTATTGATGATCAAATCTGCCCATGTTTACTGAATGGGAGCCTATTTTATTTCCTTCTGCCACTGTAACAAATCGCCACAAACCCTGTGGCTTAAAACAACAAAAGATTTTTATCTTACAGTTCTGAAGGTCAGAAGTCTGAAATGCATTTCACTGGGCAAAATCTAGGTGTCCACAAGGCTTCATTCCTTTTTGAAGGGTTAGGGAAGAATCAGATTTCTTGCTTTACCCAAGGAAGCCTTCATTCATTCGTTCATGGCCCCTTCTAGCTTGAAGGCCAGCAGCACAGCATCTTCAGAATCTCTCAACTCTGATTCCATCATCACGTCTCTTTCTTCGGACTCTGATCCTCTCACCTTGCTCTTATAAGGACCCTTGTAATTGAAATGAGATCACACAGATAATCCAGAATAATTTCCCTACTTTAAGATCCTCAATATGAATAAATGCACGTGCAAGTTCCTTTAAATGTGAAAAATATTCACAGGTTATGGATATTAGGACATAGACGTCTTTAAGGATTCATTACTTTGTTTATAAAAGAGCCTATTAAAATTGGCTTCTCATTTTTTAACCACATGATCCTAATAATCTTTAAAAGCTTCCTTACGTTCTGGTGTGATACAGGATTACAGTCCCATCCTTTACACTTCTTGCCTTCTAATGGGAATTGTATCTCCAAGAAGCTTTGGTTCCTTTTGGTGGAAAATGTTATTTAGAGAACACAGTCTGAGTACTGTGGCTTACTGGAGGTTTAGGGTTGGTTCTGCTGTTGGCCAGATGGACAGTTAGTAATGACAGCAAATGAATTAGTCTTGGCTAACTGGAGTCCAAGTTACTAAACTCATAGGTAGTCATCGTCTTTGCTGCCGTAGCTACTGGTGTGCTTGGGAAATGAGGCTGATTGACTCCTAAGTTGTGCCATATTCTTGTCCATATGAAAACAGAAAATCTTCTTTGCCATGAACAGTCACATGGCACACTCATGAATCTACTTCTGTTTCTTTCCTATAGCTCTGTGTCTACAATCCTGGGAATTTTATCTTTTATATTCAAGCAAAAGATTAGGCAAGGCCTTTAAATCCATGTGTATCCTGGCTTCAGATCATTTTCCTTCCAGGCAAAGTGATGGTGAAATGTACTGTTTTAAACTCTTCCCATTAGGAGAAATACTTTCTCCATGGTCTTTCTGGGCCAAGCTTATTAGGAAGTAGTCCTACTGATTCCACGGGAGGACATAATTGTGGGTTGAAGTCTTGGATAGGGTGGCAGAAACAGACATGGTGGGCATATGAACCAATTGTTTATGAGGTTGCTTGAATCGTATGCTCAGGTCTAGTTCTATATATAATTTAAGATTTGTTCCTCAAAGCAGACTTTAATGTACAGCCT